ACAGGCTACTCTGCCGTGATGTTACCGCTCTACTTGGCCTGGGCTAGCGGGATCAGTGCACTGGACATGAAGTACGTTAGGACGCAGTTATCAACAAGTGGAACATTGCTAGGATCATCATAGAGTGAATTTCTGACTTTTTTCTGTGTGTTACACTTCCTGCTACATTTCCTCTCTTAGTCATCATTTTCCCCTCACTCATGTATTGTCTTGTATACATGTATACAGCATTCAGAATTGTTAACCTTTCTGAAAGGAAAAACGCGCCGCATGAGCAGTTTCACGCATGCGTGACAAGACGTAAAAAGCTGCGCATGCGCGTAGAGTTGCGATAAAACGATCGGCGCGGGTTCTTGTTTTCTTGTTTTTTGCCGCAAGAGTTTTTAGTGAAATGAAGACCGCACTGTGTACGCTGTGTGTTCTATTTCTCCCTCTGTACTCGGACGCTTCCTCTTTCAGCGTTTGGCACGGAAAACCCGACCGATTGTCGGCAGTCTCGCGTATTCTGACGCGGCCGTTTACGCGTCCGTCGTACCTTTTTCACGCGAAGACGACGAACCGCTCTGCAGGAGGTCGTGTGGGGAATGGGAGAAGCAGTAACGGAAGCAATGCGTTAGCGACACCAACAGCAGCAAAATGCCGTGACGCTGCATCGCAACATCCGAAATTGGACGTAACGAAGCCGATTCCGTTGCTCCCGCCGCATCAACGCCAACGACGAAACGGGTGGGAGGTTCGTGCACTTCAAGGCGACGACGTTCACGCTTTACTGGACGATATAGTCTGCAGCAAGAGCTACCTAAAGGCGCTCGTGTCCGCCGCCAGGAGATGCAACCTCTTCGCATACTTCGATTCGGATCACATCCGCGGATGCGGCGTCGACTCGAACGGTACGTACTGCCGCAAATACGAGCGAGAATTCCCCGATCCCGACTACGTCGCCTGGAACGTTCTCCAGCAGTGCTCGCTGCAGCAGACAAAGTCCGGTACGTGCAGCTCATCGTGCAAATCGGCACTCTCAAACTTTGCGTCGAAATTCGGCTGCTGCATTCACGTGAGCCGCGTAAGCTGGTTCGCCGAAGACAACCCGCATATTCTCGTACTCAGCTCAGCGCTCTGGACTTTTTGCGGGCTCACAAGACCAAAACCGTGCGGAAATGTCCCGGATCTCCCGCAGTCAACCATCGCCGGATCCTGCACGTACGGATGCTACGCCTACGCTCGCTCGGCACTCATTTGCGAAGGCGTCGGCGAACAGCTATCGATACGTACAACAACTGCGGACGCAAGGGAACGCTCTCGAGCTCGGGCAGTTGTGCGGACTCAACCAAACGGCATGGCGTGTTTCGAACTGCAATTTTCGGACAACACCGACTACCTTCTATCCGTGTACACTGATTGCTTCAAGTATTTCTCTTCGGGCGCTTGCACGGAGAAGTGCTCTCGGGCGCTCAAACTATTCCGCAGCAAGTACGGCTGTTGCGTCAACGTGTACAACGGAACTGCTTTCGGAGACGCAGTCAATTACTGGGGAGCATCGTCACGAGTTACGGTCTGTGGTCGCGTTGCGCCGTCGAGTCTCCCCGGAATGTGTTCGTTACCGTCCGAAATCGAAACGGGAAATCGAACGTATAACGTCCAGGCTTTCTTGACGGGCTGCTAACGGAGAGGAGCGACAACGACAAACAACCTTGTTTTTATGCTGTGGTTACATATCCTTTTATTGCTCTGTGTATTTTTGTTTGACAGACACACATTCAGCTTTGTTCGTGTACACCGCGGCCTCTCTGTAGCGCCGCGCGGGCGTGCGTTCGTTCACGTGCGCACGGCGGCATGGGCGTGCGCTACTGCGCATGCGCAACGTTTTTAGCCTGCGCGCGCAGAAGTAGATGCGGCATAACAACGTCGACCAATTGTACAAGCACACATCGTTTTCTGTTCACTGAATGTTTTTCACACACACACATTTCAAGCAAGCCACACATGCCACTCTGGCAAGTACACTATACTCAGATTCTGGCTCTAGCGACCCCGATTCTCTTGTTGCCAACGTCAACTCGGTGTAGAAGATGCCGATGAAAGTGTCTCCCAGGATCCAGAGGGTGGGGCAGATCGAGACCCTGGAAACCACTCAGACAGAACGTCTGACCGCTCTGCGTTATCTACAATACAGAGAAGATACATAAACATATATTATATGTAATACTTTCACGAGAAACGATAGAAAAGCGTGAATAATGACTGAGGTAAAAATGCTGCTATTAGCGTTCGGTAAGAGAGAGCAACAGATGACACAATACTAGTAAAGGTGAAGTATTAGGTGATGACTCTTTCTGCATAAATGAGGCTGAAACCTGATATATACTGTATACCATACCAAACAGCATAGAGAATTAGCAGCACTAAGATGAACAGTTATACTGACTTACATTGACTACGTATTCAGCGGCGGAGAGTTCGAAGGTCATGGTGTTGATCTTAAATCCGACTTTGGGCAGCGAGTCAAGTTACTGCAGTCGAACACGTACTAACAAGAAAATAAGACAATTTTTCACACTATAAAATGACATCTATATATGTAGGGATCCACTGTTCAAGAGAACTTCTCTACCAAAAGAAGAGCTGGAATCTACACTTACGATTGCATTGCTGCAAATTCACAAATTCACATCTCTTTCCTTTCTCTCTCCCTCCCTCCCTTCCTCTCTCCTCCCTCACTTACATCTCCTTCCTCCATCTTTGCTCCCAGCTGGGTGTTGAGCTTCTTTATCTCGTCACTCGGACCGACAATGATTGAGGTACCGGTATCAGCAATGGCATTACAGCCTCCAGAGCAGCAGGGTGTACTCTGCTGGTTGATTGTGATCCTGCGTTTCAGACGCACGCCGAGAATTACTAAGTTTTTGTAGTGGAAATGAAAAATTTACAGTTGACCTCTCTCTAAGGACACTCCTGAAATGAGGACACCTCTCTAATAAGGACACTTTTTCTCTCCCCAAGAACAGTTCTTGCATGCAATTAAACCCCTGAAATAAGGACACCTCTCTAATAAGGACACTTTCTTCTGTCCCATTGGTGTCTGGATTAGAGGGGTTCCACTGTACTGACTATACAATACCTGTAACGTTGCTAACGGCACTGACAACGTAACGACGTCCTCGTTTGTCAGTGGACACCTCTCTAATAAGGACACTTTTTCTTTCCCCAAGAACAGTTCTTGCATGCAATAACCTCCGAAATAAGGACACCTCGCTAATACGGACACTTCTTCTGTCCCACTGGTGTCTAGAAAAGAGGGGTTCCACTGTATATATCATCAAAAATTTCTTACCCTCCCATTTTGAACTGCCAGTATGTTTCCTCAGAGAGTGGCACGTACTCCAGTGACCCAATATAGTGGGTGGGGTCAGTCCCGCCCAGAATGAGCTCGCCACCCAGTTCACCTGTTTCATCATCCCTGTTGGTTTGGATACTGCAGTAATCTATCAGGATTCTCTTGTAATCTTTAGTAATCTTCTACGATACTCTTGTAATCTCTAGTAATCCCTTTATAATCTCATGTAATCTCCCAGGATACTCTTGTAATCTCTCTAGAATACAATCTCTAGTATACAGGTTAAAAACTGGTCAAACCTGTCAAGATAGAAACCGAAAACCGGTTTTGCGACGAGACCCTGGGCCACCATGTTCTGAAAGACTGGCGCCACCTTGTCGACAGCTATAGCTGGCCACCCCATGCCAAGAATGCCGTCAAATTTATCATCAATGAACGTACTGCCTGCAATGAGAAAAAATTGAACAGGCACGTGTATTTTTAACGGGCGAATCTATCAAATTTTCACGTGGAATCAAAAATTATTCTCCTAAATTTTACCTGGCTGTTCGGTAGCTTCGCCAAAGATCTGATTTTTAACCTTTATTCCAGAAATCTACATAACAAAGAAAACGAACATGTGTACAAATAAGGGCTTAACACAAGGAAAAGTGTATGGGGGGGGCATTAATAAGAAACACACGCGAACAAATGAAGAAGCCTCACAGTCACAGTGTCCTGACTGAGGAAGCCACTGAGACTTCCTGTTCCGTATTGAATCGAGAATTTCTCCCCGTTCTTTACGTAGGTGCTCGATCTGTTGTGGTAGTACTTGTGGTGAATTTCTGCAAAAGTGATACAAATCCAAAAAATGTTCAACTACGGACGGAAAAAATTTTCCCACTAAAAAAATACGGATGAAAAACCAACAAACAATGACAATACTTTCAAGTGAAGGTATATATACATCAGAAAGACGAGTTTTTCCCAAAACTTCAAAAGAACCAACATATTATACATCTTCGTCTAAGAATACTGCAAAAAACAACATTTTCCCTTTCTCTTAAGGCACTACTACATAAGGGCTAAATACAGAAATGTATATACTAAAGATTGTAACTATAATTACAGTAATATCTCTAAACTTAGCCTTTATATCTACAGGTCCTGTACATTTTTACATCCCCACTTACGGCATGCTCTATCAGAAGGATCGCACTCTGCAGAGGGGACCCAAAGGTTTGAGGACCCAGTGTCAAAGATGACGGTGAAGTTCTGCACTGGAGTTCCAATTGATATGTTCCCATAATAGTAGAGCTACGGAAGGTATATATATACCAGTAATCTATCAGGATATTCTCGTAATCTTTAGTAATCTTCTAGGATACTCTTGTAACCTCTAGTAATCCCTATATATATTATATAGTGAGGGGAAAAGGGAAAGAGGAGAATGTAGCAGTGCATAAGAGGTTCACTACTAAAGATGGAACTAAACAATAGTGCCCAGTGATTTTTAGTAACAGTCTCTAAATTTATCCCTTATAATTATACTGCCACATTGACATAGGGAAAGAAGAGAGGGAGAGGGCATTCATTATGCTGCTTATATATAGCATGCAAAAAGGTTGCATCATGCACAACAGTCATGTGATAGAAGGCAGCTACTAATATTCCATAATTGCATCATGTGACCTTCCAAGTCACATGATTATGCAACCTTTTGACCTCTTCCTCTAACACGACAATGCATCCGTGGTCACCAGCACCGGAACCCAGTCATTAACTCTAAAACCACTACTTATTACTACACACTATATCACTACACTACACTGAAAATGACTTGGTATCTTGGAGTAGCCATCATTTATTGTCTTCACCGGAACTTCTATGCTTGGGCCATGGGATTCAACTGATTTCCTTCAAATGTCAAGTCAACACTGACTTTTTAGTTGTGTGCGCACACTTTCAGCTGCATTAGTTAATGTATAGCTGGAAAAATTTTGAACAAGATCATTATTTTACAACCCAAAAACAATCAATTCCCAGTGGTCTACACGTGTCTGTGTGTCATGTTATTTTGGATAGCGAGGTCTCTAGACCTTTTCATTTGGGACCCCGAGATGGTGCGTAACCGACCCATTAGGGAAAAGTATATTCTGATTCCAAAAAAACGGAACAGTTAGCCAAAAGAACGCTGGTGTTGTGTATTACAAGCACGAGGTTACAGTTTCAACTTCAGTAAAAGCACAGAAGCCCTCCAGGCAGCTTCAAAAACACACAAATGAGAAAGATCCAACAGTAAAATTGCGTGTTTTACAAGCAAAAGAATAGTTCTGCTGCTAGCTTACGTCTTGGTAGTTAGTCAGGGGTTCGGGCGAGTCTTTCAGCGAGCGAAGTTTGTCCAGACCTAGCTCGTAGCGCCATTTGGTGAACTGGAGAGAGCGCGAGAATTGCTGGACGTCTTGGAGACGGCCTCGCTTCTGGAGAGGGATTCTGCGGGTGAGAGAGAGAAAGCAGAAGTGGTTGCGCACGCACCAGCTAACTGCAGAAAAGGCTGCGCGCAAAACAAGCAACAAGCAATAAACCTGGTAACATGGCAGAAGGTCTGAACAGTGCAGACAACCAGAACGAGCAGAATGGAAAGACGCATACTTCCTCGCTTCCCCTTGGCTGGGCTAAAAGTTACAGTCTGCAGCTAGCAGCAATAGCTATACAGCAAAGAAACGACACCACGCGCGTGCTCACCCTTTTTTATCGAGCGGCTTTTTATGTGCGCATGCGCAATATGCGGCGGACTGAAAGCACAACAATAAAATCCATATCAGTTCATGTATGTAATATACACAGCAGCAGTACATAGCAGTGTCACGTGGCTTTAGCTAACAGTTATTTAGAGGGAGCAAATCCAACTCGTTTGTTTTGGAGGTCAAATTCGTGTAGAATGTTCCAATAAATACGTCACCTAGGATCCAGAGAGGACCAACCTGGACAGTTAGAGGGAGAGGAGAGAGGAGGGGAGAGAGAGAGAGAGAGGGAGGGGGAGAGAGGGAAAGAGAAAAATAAGTAGAGAGTGCCATTATTTCAATGACGTGAATGAAAGGTAACGAAAAATAGCCCTCCAAACCACACTCTAAAGGATTTTCTGCCCAAACACACGCTCCACCTCTGAATAAAGGACACTTTCGATGTCCCCAATGTGTTCCATTCATTTAACTACAAAATACACAAACAATAAAAAATATACTTACATCAGGCGTAGATCGATGCCTATGAATCCACTAAGACATAGCGATTCAGTTCCCTCTTGTACCTGAAGATGGAAAAAGAACTCGAAAATGGAAAACTTTGTCGTTTTTTTCGCCTCACCTTCAAAACATATTCATTGGGTGTTAGTTCAAATGTATCTCCGTTTAAGACGAATGCAACATTTGGAAGTTTGGAGAGTTCGTCGCAAGTAAAGACCCACTGTTAATTATAGCAGGGAGAGAGGGAGAAGAGAGGGAGAAGAGGGAGAGCAGGTGAAAGAGGCAAATTAAAATGTGTGTGTGTGTGTGTGTTAATAGTGGTCTCCTGTACCTGTCTATATGTGCATGGTAAAAGTCATTCGCATGTGTAATTACGTCCATAGTTGCAAAAACACGTTGCAAATGAACCGTGCTCCCTATTATACCTGTACCCGTGGTAAACCCTATATTTAGTTCACCTCGTGCACGATAGGAATTTCAAAAGCCCCGAGCTGTTTGTTCAACTCTGTGACCATGTCGGCTGGCCCGGCAAGCAGGGAGGTGCCGGTGTCAGCAATGGCATTGCAGTTCTCGCAATAGTTGCTTTTCTTCCCTCCAACCAAAATCCTGTGCACACGAGAAAGACAAAATCACACATAAAGTCACTTCTAGCTGCACGCCAGCATAAACGCAAGCAATGAAAATACTTCACATTCGTGAAAACATAAAACCAGTTGCACAACACTTCGTGTAGAACATACTTTTATAGATTTTATTCACCCATCAAGCAAGGCTGGTGCAAGCAAGGATTAATCATGAATAATAGCAAAGGATTAACAGAATAATAATGTTAATTTGCAACAACAGGATTGTTCGAATCTTACGAGTCCATTTTGAACTCCCGTAGGTCTCGCTGCTGAAGGGGAACGTAAGTGGAGGTTCCCCGGAGTATGGTTGGGTCCTGCCGCCTAGCACAGCTCCCCGCCTTCTTTACCAGACTCATCCTCTAAAAAGAGAGAGAGAGAAGGAGAGAAGAGAGAGAGGAAGGAAGGAGAGAAGAGAGAGAGGAAGAGCTCAGACGGAAAGATACATAATATAGCCGCACAGGAGCGACGCGGGTCGGCGTCCCCACACGTCGGCGCCGCCCGCGGATTGCCTTTATTCATCGACGCTTTAGGTAAACAGTCCCCCTTTTTACACTCTATCTTATGTAAAGCATCGAGACAGGCTTACAATGTGTGCTATTATAACATTATTCTTTGTACTATATACCTGAATGTGTCTATAGCAGTATGAATAGACGGCCAAGGCAAGCAAACAGTTAAGTAATACCCCAGTACAACTCTTTCCCCATGCATGCACAAGTACGCTGTATTCAGGTCTACAATAGGATCATAGACAGGGGGGAAGGGGAGGAGAAATAACTGTAATACAGATAGATAAGTATGGATGAAGGATCAAAGGAGGGCGGGGGTCTAAATTGGAGAGTGAAAGGTCTAGGTAGAAAGTAGCTAGAAAGGAGGTAGACAGGAAGGGAGAAGGAAGGGAGAAAGGAGGGAGACTGAGGAGCGGTATATAACAGCACTGAGTGCTAAACCTGTCAAGCCAGAAGCAAGATGGCAGATTTTCACAACTCCCTTCGCTAACCATCATTCTGATAAGACGGGTTTCCACTTTGTCCACTTGAAATGGACGGCCAGCCCTTCCCAGCTTCCGTCAAACTTTGCCGAATGAATGTTACTATCCTGGGTTGGTGTCGTGGCTTCAGCAAACTCTGCCTTTCCCGTCAACCCTCGCGAACCTTTACAAAAAACAAACAACAAGTAAATAGTTTTGGATATTAATATGTGCTTAGTTTGGTAGAAAGTGTTCGTATGAATCGGAACTCCTCCCTCAGTACAAGACACCCTCTACAAACGCCCCTGAAATGAGGACACCTTCTCCTAATAAGCCACCTTTTCTTTCCCCCAAGAACAGTTCTGCATGCAACTCAACCCCTGACATAGGACAACCCTCTCTACTTTTCTATTCCCCAAGAAACATTTCTTGTCCCTAAATTAGAACCACACATCACTAATTAGCTGGAACTGTACTAAACCAGTTAAGTGTTTGTTGACACCTACCGTGACATCATCTTCACCTTCAAAACTCCTTCAAGGCACCTGTGCCAAAGCCGAATTAGACCACGACGTTCCATTCCTTCTGTAAGTTTGAATACTTTCTTGATCCTTATTTGTGATGAAAACCTCGTGGAGGAGCGTATGATACGAGTGGGTGAGAAAAGAGAACGAAAAAAGCAAAGAAACACAAGCCGTAACTTTAATTAATATGCAAACAGTGACACTCACCTACAGAAACAAAATTTTAAAAACTGCTCTACACCTAAAATCTTCAGCTCATTGTTATTATTCCTTAACATTTTGTTTTACTAACTCGTATTCTCACATTCGTCTGTATGTGCCATGCAATAAACAAACCTATACCTTAACAACCCCATGCATGAAAGTTGCAATCAAATTTGCTACAAAAACAGCAAATTGCAACATCATACGTTTAGCCATTACAACGTATACTTACGCACAGGCAATGTCAATGGAGAGCATTCGCTAAAGGAAGGAACCCGAGTTGACGATCCGGTGTCCGAAAACAACTCTAAAATCTTGATGGAGGCGTTCCCTATGGTGATGTTAAACCATAGTAACTGCCCTGGAGAGAGCAGAGAGTACAAAAAGGTTACCCCACACGTAATGATGGTTGGCATAGTAACAAAATCAAGGTGATCCCCACTTAGATTTTGCTGACACACTATAGTTTTTAAAAATTGGCCATATCACACACCTGGTCTTAGCATGACTCACAGCACATGACAGACATGCATTTTGTTGTCAGGTGCTGTATTTTTGATGCATGTCAGTTGCAAGTAGATCCCATTAGCCTGGTTACCAATCTACACGAGAAATATGCACATATTTAACAGACAAGACAAAATCACTTTTTCTTCACTAACTCAATCTTTGGTCCACGATACTAAAGTTTAAGCTTAAGTGTCTAAAACTATTCACAGCCAGACTCACTATGCATTTCTACATCCCTAGCTAGGTTTCGGGGCCCTTCAATGTTTTTCATAGCAGCATAGCTAGAACCATTAGCACCACCCTTTGGAAAATACCAACCACTATAAACATTCCAAACATTCCAGCTACATTTAAGAAACGTACTTCTAGCATAGTCCTTAAGCGGTTCGTACGCAGACCCCCAGTTCCTGTCCTGTTCTCTGGAATATTTCTCCCGCACTCAGTTGCCTGTCACCGCCACTCATCACACGCCACTCACGGATCGCTCTAGCGATGCAAAGGTACCACCCTATAGTGGGAGAAAAGGAGAAAGTAAGACAAGTTTTAGCTAGAAACTTTTATAGAAGTATAGATACGAAAGAGAGATTTACCGCACAGAGCGTTGCAGCTCAAAGCCCAAGACCTTAAGATAAGTGCTACACTTGCCAGCCTTCATTTTTGACCCAAAGGTTCTCCGGAGTTCCAAAGTAAATGGCAACTCTTTTGAAGCTTGCTAACTGCGCACGCACGAGTGTGCCTCATGCGCTATGTTTGCGAGTGCAGTATTCGCATTAACGGGCCGACTCTAATTTAAAAACGAAACCGGCGACGAGTTTTTGAGATATGAAACGGGACCTTTTCGCTCTCGACAAATGCTAGGTTCCTTCTCCCTACTTCCCCCGGCTTCAACGCCTGGTTTCGTAGCACTCAGAACGTGGCGTACGCGTACATGGTAGCAGAGACTGGGTGAGTCCTATAATTCTAACAGCCTCTAGAAAATTTCAATGCTACCGTTGATTTTTAATGCCTGTAGGTATCTTTTTGTCGAGCCTATTTTCGAGTCCTGTGGGGCTCCAGAGGAGCTCGGGTACTGGATTCCTTGGACTGGGACGGGGCCGGCAAGACACTATTCCCTACTATACGACAAGTCT